CTGTCTGTAACTCCAGTTCCAGGGGATCCAATAGCCCCTTCTGTCCCCCGTGGGCATTGCACGACATGAGTTCACTTACATACAGGCAATACACGCATACACATAAAATAAAAATAATGAAAATATTTTAAAATAAGAAAAGCCTATTAAAATTTTTATCATCTGCTATTTCTCATGTTGTCTCAAGAAGAAAGGCTCTGTTCATAATCAGTGCTAACTCTGGTTCTCTTTCTTCATAAGGACATGCTAAAATGATACTTCTTTACTCCCTTGATGTTAACTGTGGTCATGTGACTAGGTATAGGCAATGAAATGTGACATATGTTATGGCTATATTGAATTCTTCAAGAATAAAGAATATGCAGGGTTTCTTCTTACAGAAATGCCTAATGATGTTCTTTATAAAAAGTATTTTTAGTTTTAATTGTGTATGCATGTGTATCTGTGTGTGGGTATATACATGAGTGCAGGTGCCCTTGGAGGCCAGAGATGTCCCATCCCCTGGAGTCGGAGTTACAAGAGGTTGTGAGTTGCCTGATGTGGGTGCTGGGAACCAAACTTGGTCCTCTGCAAGTGCTCTTAAGCCCTGAGCCATCTCTCCAGATGAAAACAGTGTTCCTTATGGAGGAGATCATCATCTGGGTCTCTGAGTGAAGACTTTGTGAGTAGATCCTTCCTAAAATGGACATGTGTGAGTGTGTTAAGGCCCTGGAACATAAAAGTTGATCCTGGAGTGATATCTAGTCTGCCCTGACCAATATATCATCTTCTGTAGTACATCTAGGGACATAAATAACAAAAGAGATAACAAAAAAGATAAGGAAAGTTGACTATCCCTCATTGCAATAAACTATATTGCTTATTTGAAAATGTAAGTTTTCTTTAAAAATTTTTTTTTGATTCAAAATTATTTATTGATCATAGACCATGTGCTGGGAAGGACACAGAACGCTGGTAATAAAAATAGGAAGAAAACACAGAATCTGTCCTTCAAGGGCATAGGGAAACAGGTATAAAGTGAAATAATTGTCATACAGTACACTAAAATGAACAATTTAATGCAGAAGGTACAAAAGTAACAGTGACTAAAAATTTCATCCTTTTTAAATTAAAAAATGCTATTTATTTATTTATTTATATTTTATTTGTATGAATGTTTTGCTTGCATATAAATGTGCCACATGCATGCAATGCCTGCAAATGCCAGTAGGGGGCATTGGATACCCTGAAACTGAAGTTAGGACTGTCCTTAGCTGCCATGTAGACACTGGCAACTGAACCCAGGTCCTCTGGAAAAGCAGCCGCTCCCTACCCCCAGTTACTTTCTTCTTCTTTTTTTTTTCTTACATTAGAAAAATTTTTTGAATAATTACATGATTAGAAGAAGAATTTCACTACAGCTTTAACATATTCAGTAACACACTCCAGAACAAGAGTACATCTCTTTCACAAGTGGGTGCAAGTTTCTAGGTTTACAGTTGAATTAAAAGTTATACAATATAGAACTCAGTATAAGCCCTGTAAGACATAAAGTTGAATGACTTATTAACCTTTAAAAAAGATCTCCATTTCATTTAGACTATATTGTTCCTTTTAGAAAGACTCATTGTTTTTGCTACTAACACTGAGATGTTGGGATTTATACATCTCTAATCTGTACGCACCTGATTATTACGAGTCATAATCGGTTGCGTTTGGATCCTTGGCACCTGTGTATGTCTATGAAGTCATCGGGTAGCTTTCAATGGTAATGTTTATCATCTCTACTAATTAGCATGATGTAAATTTCCATGCTTCCTTCCTCAAATATAATACATTTTTAAAAAATTTGTTGATTTTTTTGAATGTGTGTATATCACACAGCACATCCCAAACCACCTTATTCAACTATACACCCACTTCCCAGATGGCACCCTCCCATAGCATCTCTCCCCCCACTCATAGAACCTTGGGGCCGGTACTCAGAGGCCAGTAAGACAGTACATTTTTGTTTTGATCCACCAAGTTTGTGGCTTTTACAATGCTCTAGATCTGTTCCACATAATATAGTACTTTAATGTCATGATACTAATTGTGCTATTAGAAAATGGTAGGCTATGAATTCCTGGAGGATAGGAACCAGAGCTCTATTTTTATTTTTTATCTTTTGATATTTTTGAAACAGGGTCTCTTTGTAGCCCCAGCTGGCCTAGAACTCACTATGTAGACCAGGCTAGCCTTGAACTCACAGAGATCTGCCTGCCCCTGCCTCCAATCTATTTTTATTTTAACCCTCTCAAATACCTAGTTCAATCTATAGAATTATTACATTAAGTTATTTGGAGTATATAACTTTGATATGTAAGTGGGAATGGGGGAACTAAGGTCATTTCAAAAGACACAATGCAACTCAATAATCCATTGTGCTCCTTGCAATCAGATTCCAACATTTTGCTTTTGAGCTCTGTCCCACATGCAGCAGGTACTTAAACAAGTGGAACAGTGATCTGAAACCCGTGGGAGAAGAAGTGTGCATGAGGCAAAAGCAAACACATGTGGTATAATGTCCTCTTTGTTTAGATGAGTTTTAAAAACAATTTTCCAAGATCAAATTATACCATAAGATAGGCAGGATGTACCAATTTAACTTCATTATATTCAAATAAAGTGTTTAAAAATTAATAATTAATACTGTGCCAAGAGACTAATGATAACACAAAGGACATGGCTCTATTCTAAAGGGCCTTACTATGTAGCTGGGAGCTAATACTAACAACCAAGTAAGGTTGCCAGGCATTTTATCCCATACCATGTTGTATGTTTTAGATATTAGAAATTATAGGTGTTTGGAATTAGGAGCCAGAGTATCAACAGTTCACTGATTAGTCATCTATTTATTGAGGATCTTTTGGTTTTCTGTGAATCTGTTTCTGTTTGGCGTTTGTAATCAAGAGAAGACAATAAATAACTAATATAATGCTGAACTAAATAGCAGGAGGTTTTTTAGTTCAGAAATGTAATAATACTGTAACTTCTGAATGAAAGGGGAAGTGAACTAATGAGTAACTTTTAAAGTAAAGGTATGACTGGGCATGGTAGCTCATGTCTGTAATCCTAGCACTTGGGAAGTAGAGGCAGGAGGACAGAAGTTCAAGTCCAGCCCCAGTTACATACTGAATTTGAGGCTAGCCTGAGCTACATGACACATTATCTCATAAAACAAAATAACCACCACAACAAATGTATTATTTAAGAACACCTTAAATAATTGGGATTGGGTGTGGTGGCACATGCCTTTAACCCCAGTACTTGAGAGGCAGAGACAGGGGGATACCTGTGAGAGGGCTAGCTTAGTCTACACAGCAAGTCCAGACCACCTGGAGATATAGGGAGACTTGCTTTCAAAAAACCAAAGAAGAAAAAAGATGAATGGGACTTTGAAAGGAATGGGATACTCCAGTCAAGTGGGAGCAAGAGCACTGCACACTGAAAGAACACTTTGATGCTAACATTGAACAAGAGATGTTTGAAGGGTGGCACACTGCTTTCCTATTGCTAAACCCCATCACAAATTCATTATTTTACAAATTATAGGTCAGCTGTCCACAGGGCTGAGTTCCATTAGAGAAATTTTAGGGAGGACTCCGTTTCCTTACATTTTCCAGTTTCTGGAGGTCACCCACAACCCTGGCTGAAGGCGCCTTTCTTCTGTCTTCAAAGCCAGCAATACTACATCTGACTAATTCTTTATAGTCAAATCGTTCTTTGGCCCATTCTTCACTCTGAGTTTAAAAAACCCTGTTACACTGGGCCCATGGAAAAACACTGGCTAATCTTCCTATTTTAGGGTAACTAGGAACTCCTGTTCTTTGCTATGCAACCTATCATATTTATAGGTTTCAGGGATATAGGGTGGATGGACGTTCATCACAGGGTGTAAAGAGCTGCTACTCTTGAGTGGAAAAGTGCCTAACGGAGGAAGAAGTGTGAACATACTGATAAGGGAAATGTGGAGCGGGCGCACTTTTGAGGTTTTATGTAATTCTTTTTTTTGAAGATGGCTTTGGCTACGGTATGGAAAATCGCATGATTTGGGGAGCAATATAAGGAACCATTTCCAGTGGTGCTGCATTTACCCATATGCAAGTGTTCCCCATCAAAGTGTTGTGAGGTACTTCACCAGAGACCACCACTCAGACAAAGCTTTGCCCAGTGAAGGTCTTTGCTGGCCAGCAGCTACACAAGGGTGTCCCAACGCAAGTGTGTAGCTCCAGGCCAACTCCAGGGTAAGCTTTTATAGAGAAACTAGGGGTGAAAAGTTTAAGTTCCCAAGTTTACAGGTACATAGTCCCCTTAACAATTTCTATTCTATTAAGCAACAATTACTATTTTTCAGAAGCAAGTCAAGCATAACCTACAGATGCCATAAATCTGCAGTTAGCAGGTGCACTCCAAACATGCTGACCTGTTCCCAAGACAACTGGGGTCCTGCTGACATGTGTTCCCATACCCTGGACCAACTGCCTGATCATTTCAGAGGCTAGAGTCAGCCTAAACTTTAACATGGCCTAGCTATGCATATCACAAAAGCTCATGACGTCATACCACAGGACTTCAGGTCTAAGTGTTCAAAAGACGGCCAACAAAGCCTTACAGTCAACTAACAGAGATTCAAATAATTTTGAATCCTCAGTTAACGAGATTCAAACTCAGACGTACGAACTGAGTATTTTACGGTCCAAATTGGGAAACCACGAAGTCCTTGTTCTTAAGGTTTTTCCTAAATAGGGACACAACACTGAAAGGGTTGGTCTGCCCCTAGGAATTCCATCGAACTAGGCCCCGCCACCACCAAGCACAAGGCTTTTCCGGTTTCCACCATGCCTCCACGGGTCCGTCAGTCCATCCACCCACCTCAGAGCAGCCCTCATCGCCCTGCCCACCCTCGGCGTAACAGGAACACACGTAAGTAAAAGTGCCCTCAAAACGCGACCCGGGGGCTGGTTTTCCGGACTTGCGGTCACGTGTTCCTGGGGCTGTGTTCAGGCGTTACTTCCGTGTGCAGCTGCGGCTTTCGTCCCCCAGGACGCTGCAGCCGTTGGGTTCCTCTTGGCGTCCACCGGTCCGCAGCACTCGCCCTCGGCAGTGCCAGCGCGGTGACATGAGTGTTCCTGTGGCGCCGCCCGCGGGCAGGGCCCTGACCACCGCGCCCCCTGACCGCCTGGAGGCCGGCGAGCCTCTGCTGGGTACGGCTGTGGGGCGGACACATGCCCGCTGGGGTGCGGGGGCGGGGAAGGCTGGGACCGCGTATGTCTGCGCTGGCGGCCTGAGGCGGGTGGTCCCCGCCGGAAGTGGGATCCAGAGACCTCCTGCCCGGCGACCTCGGAGGCCGGGCGAAGCGTCCCACTGGGTGCAGATGGTGGAGGGCGGTGGTGAAAATTTGAGTTTGTCTTGTCCCCGGCGCAGCGCAATGTTGACTCTGCCATGGGGTTAGTGGTTGGGGATGAGTTTATCGGAAAGATGTTCGGTTTCCAGAGAAATATCCTATATTGGCCGTGCATGAAATGCCCCCAGCTTGCTTGGTGACATGACTTTATCCCCATTACTCTAGCAGCCATTCTTGATCAGTTCCAGGGAGATTTAATCATTAATGCGCGAAGGCAACCATTGAACGAGGTGGGTTACACTCACGCATTGTTTATGCATCACCATCCTTAGGAGATTGGGAACATAGTCACTAAAAGCATTTTCTGTGTTCTCTGATTCATCAAGGAACGTTAGATGAAAAAGGCTTGTACAAAGGCAGTTGAGCCTTTTTAAAACAATCTTTTGTTCGAGAAATATAGGGGAATTCCCAAACCATTCTCTCAGCATTTTCCTGGCCATGCTTTTCTTTAATGACCAATTCCCAGCTAATTAAGTCGCTTCTATAAACATCGCTGCATTTACAAAGCTAGTGCTGCCTCCAGTCTCTTATTCTTCCAACTTGTTTGTTACACTGCTGTAACATTACTGCTACAAGATAAAACGTGGCATGTCATTCCCTTGCTTAGAATCCTTCAGTGACTTCTTGCCACTTTCTAAACAAGTTCAGACCCATTAACCTGGCCTTCACTAGCTCTCCCGCAGGCCGAGTGCATGGTATTAATAGCTTATCTTTGCTATGCTGTGATGCCCATGCTCCTGGCACCTTATATTCGTACTTTCCTCATTTTGTGTCTTTACTCGTATTGCATTCCTTCAACTTCTGTCATAGGTTTCTATCCACTTGGAAATAGTGGTGGCTGTGTACATTGGTGCCATCTTTTAGGATGGTAGTTTTTCAGTGTCAAAAGGATGCATAATCTTTGTATCCTACTGAATTTATCCCACAGAAACTCTTAACATGAATGTCCAAAGATTAGTTAAGAAGATCCTGCAGCATAATTTGAAATCGCAAAAAGTGAAAACAATCTAATCATCCATCCATAGGGACTGGTTCAACTACTGTAGAACACGTTTCTGTTAAAAAGGATATAGTAGATCTGTGTGTGCATTACTGTTGAAAGATAGCAAAGATGTATTTGAGAAGAGTTGCTGGTTGTGGTGGTGCATGCCAGCACTTGAGAGGCTGAAGCAAGACGATCAGGAGTTCAAGGCCATCCTGGACTACATGGCAAGACTTTGTCCTAAAACAAAATAAAATAGAAAACTTACAGAACAGGATGTTTCATTTGTGATAAAAAGACTGTATGAATGGATATGTAAAGACAGTTTCTGGAAGTCTAAGAAACTCCAGAATGACTCCATTTGGAATTAGGGCATAAGAATTTTTTTTAAAATTACATTTTAATTTTATGTGTATGAGTGTATTACCTGCATGTAGGTAGGTGCACCTGTCGTGCAATGCCCACAGAGATCAGAAGAGGGCATTGGATCCCCTGGAACTGGAGTTACAGATGGTTTTTAACCACCATGTGGGTGGTGGGAATCAAACTTGGGTCCTCTGCAAGAGGAGTTAATGCTTTTAATTGCTAAGCCATCTCTCCAGCCTCTGAAAGAATGTTAAGTTGTGTCCTTTTCCATGGATTTAAATTTTTATAGTGATTAACACAGATAACAATAACAACAACAAAAAAGAAATGAAGGCATTTATTTTTAAAGCTGCTCAAAAACCCATTCTTCCTTAAGAATCATGCTGGACTGGGGCTGGAGAGATGGTTCAGCAGTTAAGAACACTGGTTTTTGTTGAAGAAGACCCAGGTTTGAATCCCAGCACCTACATGGTACCTAACAACTGTCTGTAACTCCAGTCCCAGGGGATCTGACAGCCTCTTCTAACCTCCACGGGCATTGCACGACACGGGTGCACTTACTTACATGCAGGCAATATATGCATACACATAAAATAAAAATAATAAATAAATTAATTAAAAGAACAAAAAAGAATCACCCCAGACTTCTGTAATGGTTTGTTTTTGTAATGGCATTTGTTACACCCTGATTCCCCTGTATTGTGCACTTCCTGAGGAGAGGAGTTACTTTACTTGTTGTGACTAAGACATTAGTGCGTGGTAAATGTTCAACAAATGTTTCTTGTATGAAAAGGGTGAAGACCCTTTTTTCTTTAATCTCCCACAATGAAGTGCCTAGATCTTAGTATCTATACTTAAAAACACGAATAACTAAGACATTTCCAATAATTAACTAGAAGATTAGGGTAGGGGAAAGAAGGCCCCCTGAGTTAAAGTGTGTGTGTGTGTGTGTGTGTGTGTGTGTGTGTGTGTGTGTGTGAGCGCACGCGCACATGCGCGTGCACAGAGAGATGAACTACTTATGCTTTAAAGTAGAAATACCCTTATTTTTAATTTTAAGTTTTTGAGACAGGATCTCACTATATGGCTATGGCTGGCCCAGAACTTGCTATGTAGACTAGGTTGGCCTTGAACTCACAGAGATATGCCTCTTTCTGCCTCCTGAGTGCTGAGATTAAAGGCATGTTTTCAACTCCATTCTGCTCTGGTTTTCCCCCCTTACTAGTTACAGTCCCCCAACCTCCTTACAATGCTGTGATAACTCAAGAGCTTCCTAATGTGATTTCTGCTCGAGGACAGGTTTAAATGACGCTTCTCCAGATGAAGGATTAGCAGAGGACTTCACTGTAGAAGACAAAGCTGTGGAGCAGCTGGCAGAAGGACTGCTTTCCCACTACCTGCCGGACCTGCAGAGATCAAAACAAGCCCTCCAGGAACTCTCGTAAGCCCGACAGAGCCAGACAGGCACTCATTTCCTTGTTGGTGTGGTAACAGCTTTCTCTATAGCTGCATACAGTATGAAAGTATAGTATTTTGTAACATTTAGCCACTGAGCATTTCTATATTTTACAAATGGGAAAAGTGAAATGAATACTCCTAGAGTGTCTAATTTCTTGTAAAACGTCCTGTAACTATTACGTAGACTGGGTGATTAGTTTGGTGTTCTAGCACTGTTTTACATGTTACCCACTAGGGATTGTTGTGGCACGGTTGTATACCTGCTTCTGAGTTGAAAAATTGCCTCCATAAAAGTCATGTATGATTGCAGTTGCTGGTTCACATGTGTTATCAGGATCCCTAAGTACCTTTTTTGAGATGGCATGATCATTCCCAGTGAGCAACTTCACTAGGTAAAGAAGGATTGGAGAGTGTGCTAAGAGGAACAGCATCAGGCAAAATGAAATCCATTCCTTCCTTCCCACTGTGATCAGCATACAAAAACATGTGCTCTGATTTTATCTGTTCCCACCCGGAGACAACAGACTTAGCTTCTGCTTCATCCTGGGTCCAGCTTCTCCACACCATCCCAGCTGACCTTCTGTCATTTCTTTTTGTGGTGGCCAGCTTTAACGTGGCTTGAACTGCTCTTGCTGTCAGGCCTTTTGGAAACGTCTTTCAAGACTTTATTGGTCACATGGAGAGGATAGTCAACAGCACGGTTTATAATTGTTAGTAATGTTATAATTGTTGGCTTTAAGGTGCTGAGTGCAGTTACTATATACTGTGTGTGCCCACTGTTTCATAGTTTCTGAGTTGTCAGCAGCCTCAGTTTTCTGCCTGTCCTATGAGATTTTTTAAAAAAATTCCAGGTGCATAGTATGCCTTGCATTGTGATGCTAGTCTTGTAGCAAGAAAGTCATTTAAGGTTTTGTGGGAAAGTTTGGATGAAATGCGGTGCAGTGTAGGAAGGTAAGAAACTCTGCAAGCAGGATGTGTCTGGGTAGTGTTTAACGCATAGGAAGCTGGGGACTAAAGTTTAATTACAGATTTTAACTGGAGAGCAGCTAAAATTTCATGTTTTGAATAGCCCACTTATCTTCCTAGGGGCCAAGGCAATAATAATGATGACGATGATGATGATAAAAATCATCTCTTATATGTGCTGTATATGCTCACGTGTCCAGAACCTTACCTTCATGTCTTGATTAATTAAGTAGTTCATCGGTTAGTTCTCACATCAACCTAATGAGGTATTTAATATCATCCCCATTTGCAGCTGAGGAAACGAAGGTCAGAGAAGTTAAAGTAACTTGGAAGAGGATATTGGATCCCTTGGCACTGGAGTTATGGACAGTTGTTAGCTGCCATGTGGGTGCTTGGAATCAAACGTGGGTCCTCTGTTAGAACAGCAAGTGTTCTTAACTACAGAGCCATATCTCCAACGTGTGTGTGTATATATAAAATTATATAGATTGAGGTGAGGCCTATTGAGCCTAATTTGAGTTCCCCAGATGCTCTTAGGTGTGGGTCCGTCCCCGGAAGCCTGGTCAACCTTCCTAGTGTCACACCCTTCAAGAAAACTGACTCTCTCTCTCTCAGGAGCTATCACTTGCCACTAGTTCCTCAGCTGGGGCTGGGCTTCTTGCACACCTCTTCCATCCATGGGATTTTTGTCTGGCTTCAGCCTGAGCTTGTCTTGGGTACGCTGTCTCAAGCATTGCCCCACCCTCTCTTCTATCAGTGCCTGACTCTTTCCTACCTGTTCCTTTCCCAGATTTATGACTTTTGGTTTTGTTTTGTAAACCATTTAGTTTAGCCAGGACTGTCTGTGTAAGCACTGGATCGAGACTGTCTACTGCAGTCCAGTGGGTTGTCAGTGTGTACATAGCTGGAGACAATAACTACCCTCTGTCCCTGGATCTATCAGTAGGAAACAGTTCAGCTGCTGTTGATGGGCCCATTCTTGTGCACACCCCGCACAATCATCTGCAGCTGTGAGTTTGTAATTGCAGTGTCTGTGTCTTATTCAGAAGGTGGCATCTTAGTCTTCTCCCTCTCTTCTGGCTTTTATATTCTTTCTGCCCCCTCCTCTGCATTGTTTCCTGAGCCTTGGAGGGAGTGCTGTGAATGTCCTGTTGAGGGCTGAGCACTCCTCAGCCTCCCAGCACCTTGTACAGCTGTAAGTCTCTGTAGTCACCTCAGTTCACTGGAAAGAGAGGTTTTTCTGATGAAGGCTGAAGGCAGTACTTGTGAGGTGCTGTGGGCTGTGGGCTGGGTCTCTGGAGTGAAGCCCCAGGGTGGTGTGGATGGGCTATCTTCATCATTTTTAGAACAATGAAAAGACAAAAATAGAAGTTCTGAGCTTAGGCCCCTGATGTAGCCAGAGAACTGCAGAGAGCCTCAAGGAACTCCCTGGATGGTCCACTCTTGGACCCGCTGTGGAACTACACTCAGATACTTCAGCAAGCTTCATAATCTTGGCAAGTTTACCGAAGATTATACAGGGTTTCAGGGGAATAGAAGTTCAGTCATCTTTGTCTGCCTCACTGTTCTAAGTGTTCTTTGGAGACTTCTAATTGTCTTTGTACATTTTATTTATTGTGAATGTGTTGGGGGTGTACCATATGGAAGTCAAGAGGACAACTTTCAGGAGTTGGTTCTCCTCTTCCACAGTGTGGGTTCTGGGATCGAACTCAGGGCCTCAGCCTTGGCAGCAAGTGAGCCATTTCGCTGGCCTAGGAGCCTTCTACTGCAGTGTCAGATTGATAGATTTGGAAAGCACTATACTTAAAATTATTGTTTTATAGGGCCAGGTCTGGGAGGATCACATACACAGAAATTCTGTGCCCTCTCCCAGTAAAGTTTAGGTGTGTTTCCTTCCAGGCAATTAATGTGTTCACTAATTAGGGATCTTCAAGTGAGTTTTCATCATGGTTTCATTTTGTAGGCACAACCGATTGAATTACTGGTCATGGAACTGAAACAGTCTCCAGTGTCCTCTCCTCTGAGCTCATATCATCACATGGTTCCAAGCCCCAACCATCTAATCTTGTGTCTAGCTCCCCCACCTCCCTGCCCCATCTCAAGGTGCTCATGGAAAGACACCTCATTATTCACTTCATTAGCATAAACACAGGTGTGATTCAAGGAACTGGTCTAAACAAAGCCATTCCTATCACTTGGGAAATTGCAAGAATTTTAGAAACTGTGCCAGAGACCTGGTACAAAGGGTCAGACAAATTCATTAATAAATAACAGGTGTCTACTTACATCTTTTTTTTCCCATTTAAAGTTTTCCCATGTGTTGAATTTTAAGAGTTCTTTGTGTATTTTTTAAACAAGACCTTTATATGTTTTACACATATTTTCTCCAGGTCTGTGGTTTCTCTTTGTTTTTTGGTCTTTTTGAGACAGGGTCTCCCTGTAGCCCCAGCTGCCCTGGAACTCGCTGTGTAGGCCAGGCTGGCCTTGAACGCACAGAGATCTGCTTGCCTTTGCCTCCTGAGTACTGGGATTAAAGGCATGCGCCACCATGCCCGGCTGGAGATTTTAATTTTAATAAAGTCTGAATTGGCAGTTTTTCCTTTCATAGGCCATGCTTTTGTATCTGAAAACTCATGACCAAACCAAGGTCACCTAGATTTTCCCATGTGTTTTCTTCTAGATATTTTAATTTTCCATTTAGATCTGTGATGCACTTTGAATTAATTTTTGTGACATCTGTGAAAGGTTCACTTCCTTGTACGTGGAAATCCCTGTTCTTGAGAAGCCTGTTCTTCCTCTACCGCTTTGCTGTCAAGCAGCAGTTGATTACTTAGGTCAGTTTAAGGCTTGCTGCTCTGTTCCATTGATCAGTGTGTATGTTCTTTTGCTAATGCCATATTGTATTGCTTTCTGAAGCTCTATAGTAAATCTTAAGTGGTCCTTATATGAGTTTTGATAACTTGTGTCTTTTAAAGCATTAATCTTTCCCATCTAAGTCAGGTTCGTGGTGAGAGAGTTGTTGGCAGTATTTACTCCTTTATTGTCCTTTTAATATGAGGTCAGGAGTGTGACCCTCTCTTCATGAATGATGTTGGCAGTTCTTATCCTTTCTCTTTTCTTCTTCATCTGGTTGATGGCTTACCCGATTTGTTGATACTGAAGCTTCGGTTTCCTTTGTAGCCCGTTTTTGCTGTCCCATGTATGTCATCTGGCTAAGTTGATGAGTGTTCCCGTCCTTTATTCTGAACATCTTCACCCATGATCTGAAAGCAGGACACACTTGTGGCCTGTGTGGTAGACTGAGGCTGGTGGGTGAGCGGCTGCTTTCAGTCTTGTTACCACTTCTTTTTCCATTGCTCTTTATTTTGCAACAAACTGTACAATTTATTTTCCTCATAAATATTCACTTAGGTGACTCCTTGTCACTTAACCTGTGTCTGTTATATTTAATCTGGAGAGGAATAGGAAGTTACTTTTTTTCTTCCTTCATAGAATTTGAATCAGAATTTTGATGAGGAGACTTTGAATTTGTCTGAACTTTGTTAAGTGAGATGTAAGTCGAAGGAAGTAACCCGAATTTCCAAAGTTACATCACTGCAGAGAAAGGTTGATTCCCAGTTCTGTGCTGTTTTTCATCATGCTTTGTATTTACTCTTTAAAAAAAAAAAATACCTCTTGATACTGCATCTTTCCTAACCTTGAATCAGAAAAGTCATGTTTTATAGGTGTGACTTTTACAGTATGGACATAATCTGGATTAAAGACTTTTACCTAACCTTGCAACCAAAAAGTTGCAGTTTGTGATATAAACAAGTTCACTGAGCCATGTGCTCCTCTGATCTCTCAGGACCCCTCCTTGCCCTCTACCTAAGACAGGGAATGAGCGTGGATATGAATGCTTTACATATCAAAACACTGAAAGCTGCGTCTTTTCTCATTGCAAACAATGATCGAAGAAGCCTGTTATTGTGTCCATGTGATGTTCTAGGCCTAGAGATTAAAGGGCAAGAGTCTTTGATAAGAGTGGGCCTGACTTCTATTTTACCATTTCTTGTTGGAGATACTGATTCAATAAAGAGTGAGCAAAGCCCCAGCTCAGGAGCACGGTTCTGAGAGACAGCTGAACAAATGGGTTCTCAGAGTTCAGAGTTGTGAGTTTGGTCTGTCTACGGCCTTAAAAGGAATGCTGAGTCAGGCTATTTCTTAATTTAGGCATAACTGTAATGTGACTTAGAAAAACTGCAGTGTTTCTGATTTACTTTTTGAGAATGCTGAAATTTTAAGATGTCTAAAAAATTGAGTTTCTCAAGCTGGGTGTGTGATGGTGTACACCTTTGATCCCAGCATGAGGGTGGATCTCTGTGAGCTCGAGGCCAGCCTGCTCTACATAGCGAGCTCCAGACCAGTTGGGGCTACAGGGAGACTCTGACAAACAAAGGGAAAAATTAAGTTCCTTAGGCAAAAGTATAAAAGAGAACTTTTGGGGAGATAATGCAGACATTTATTTAGAACAATAAAATACTTTAAAATAATTGAATTATTTTTGTTATTAGAGTCTGAAATTGAGGCAAGAATGAAGGCTACTCAGTTGTCAGAATATGTCTTGGGGATGATATATTGAAAAAGATTTTTCTAAGGCAAATAAGCATTAGAGAGACAAAACATTGCCAGTTTAATTTCCAGATTTTCACATTAGCCAAGGATGAGGTTCCTCGAAATGAGCCAACACTCACAAAATGGAAAGTTCACTGTGGCTGTGTGCTTTTGTTTCAGACAGAACCAAGTTATATTACTAGATACACTGGAGCAAGAGATTTCAAAATTTAAAGAATGTCATTCTATGTTGGATATCAATGCTCTGGTAAGTACGATTTTATGTCACTTAATGACGTCTTATTTTAGAAATATGTAGATTTATCTTCCCACCTGTGTACTTTTGTATATTGAGGATCTTACTCTCTAATGTTTAGCATCTGTTTTTTAAACAGGACATGTTGATTGACTTTTTAGAGCACTCATAATCTTGAATTGTTCTCTTTCACATATTGAACTTGTTGTAATAGGAAATTTAACTTAGATCGTGGAATATTACTGTATTTTCACTTTTCTGTCACTGTGATAGAAACACTGACCCAAGCAATTTATAGAAGGAAGAGTTTATTTGAACTTACAGTTCCAGGGGAATTACAGTCCGTCATGGCAGGGAGGCATGGTAGCTGGAGGTGGCTGGAACAGGAGCAGCAGAAGCTAAGCTCTCACATCATCACACAGGCACAGGAAGCAAGAGAGTGACTAGAGATCCAGCAAGGCTTAAGAATTCTCTAAGCCCACCCCCAGTGATGTGCTTCCTCCAGGATAGCCACACCTTCTAAAACCTCCCAAAACGGTGCCATCATGTGGGGACAGAGTGTCCAAACACTTGGAGCCTATGGGGGACATTTTCATTCAGACCACCACAAGAGCTCATAAAATGAAGACTTAGACAGAAAACTGGAAGTGAGAAACTTTTGAGGTACTATTTTTACTATCAGGGAAAGTGTATTCTCTCTTGAATTGTCAATTACGTGGTTTCTTAATGTTTTATTTTCTTTATCCATATTTGTAGTGCCTTAATGAATTAATGCCATGGACTGAAATAGACACTTTGAGAATGATTATATCCTTCAGTATGAGTAATTGAATTTCATTAGAAACTGTTAGGAGAGAAAATAATACTCTAAGAAAAGGGACTTAACAAACAAGGAACGTCTTCCTACCTTTCTTTCCCTCTTGAACATTAGAAATAACTTATTTTACATGGTTTTGTAAGGATTCATACATACCTCAAAAATAGACTTTTCATTGGACAAATGTGGTTTAGGAATGTTTTCCTTACACGATTATCAAGTGTTCTCCAGCATCAGACAGAGACTTGCTGTAGTAAATAGTCTGCTCTGTGTGAAAGAGGCGAGCAAGGCTATGGTGAGTGAGGCTATGCAGCTGACCTGCTTTTCTTTTCCCTCTGAACTCCTGGTGCAGTTGAATGGACATTTGTTGAATGAGTGAATGTTGAATGAATGATAGAATTCTGTTGAGTCAGTCTGAAAGGATAAAAACTATGTTCTCCTCTGGTTTCTTCTACTTTTTAAAGAGTGGTTTTAATTCTCATGTAGGAGTTGAAAATGGAAGGCCCTGACAGAGAGGGACTGTAGACTGTGACTTAACTTTCAGCCACGTAAAGTGGTGCTCTCCCTCCTGACACTGCTCTCCTTTATCTCTTTCTGTCGCCTTGTCCGAGAGTAAGTTCTTTCCCTTCTATCTCACCTATGTGGGCCTTCTTCCTTTTTGATTGTGCAGGCTGAGATGCAAAGTGGACATTCTTTAGTGGCTGTTTTGCTGGTATGACCTTAAAAACTCAAGAAACATGACTGAATTTGTTCACCATGCTCTCATATCTGTGGTTACAAGCTTGGAATTTTGTAATAGGCAGACATATCACTTACACTGTCCTATGTATGCTGGCGCATTCCCTCTTTTATAAAGGTAGTAGAGAGTGTTTTAATTTTTGGATAATGTATATTTTTGAAGCACAATGTTTATATTCAATATAAAGGTCTGTTTTATGTTTAATAACCTTTTTGTCGACCAAACTGAATTAGATGTTTGTAAGATCCTACTAATGGTTAAATGAAATTTTGTATTACGGAATTTAAATATGAAAATAAAGCCAGGCATTGGTGGTTCACACTTTAATCCCAGCTTTCTGGAAGCAAAGGCAGATGGATCTCACCAAGTCCAGCCTGGTCTGCCTAGCGATTTTCAGGCCAGGGAGACCATGTCTCAAAAAAGAGAACATAATTAAGGCCCTGAAAATTGACCAGTTTAGGAAGGATGAGGTTAATTTGGGTATTGGTATATTTGTCATTTCGTTCTGTTTTAACTTGACTTTCTGTGTTTAAGTTCACTGAAGCGAAGCACTATCACACCAAGTTGGTGAGCATAAGAAAAGAGATGCTGATGCTTCATGAAAAAACGTCAAAGTTAAAGGTGAGTGGAGAACCTTTTCACTTTCTTTTTCAAAGTAGGTTTTTTTCCTTCAGTATTCATTTTTCGACTTTTTATACTTCTATATACAGTAACATATCTTCTATGTTATTTCCCTCTAAAAATAAAGCTTCCCAGCTTCTTCCAGAGTAGCTGGGCTGGTGGGCTGTAGTCTCTGTATACTCAGGAGGGGTTCACATTTCATAAGGGCTTGGAGTAACAAAATTTTTTAAAAACATTTTATTATTTTTATTTTATGTGTATGGGTATATTGCCTGCATGTGCACCTGTGTCATGCAGTGCCCTCAGAGTCAGAAGGTGGTGTCGGTGTCCCCTGGAACTGGAGGTACAAATGGTTGTTAGCTGCCATGTGGGTGCTAGGAATTGAACTCAAGTCCTCTGCAAGAGCAACCAGTGCTCTTAACTGCTGAGACATCTCTTCAGTCTCAAGTTAACAAAGTTTTTAAGAGGATCTGAAATTACCTGTCTTAGTTACTTTCTATTGCTGTGATAAAAACACTGACCGAAACCAACTTGGGGAGGAAAGGGTTTATTTTATCTTACCTCTCCCAGGTCATGGTTACAATACATCACTGAGGGAAGTCAGGGCAGGAACTGAAGCACAGATTATTTACTGGCTTGCTCCTCTGACCTATGCTTGCTTGCTTTCTTTTTTCTTTCCTTTTTTTTTTTTAGTTTTTTTGAACTCTGTAGACCAGGCTGGCCTTGAATGTACAGAGATCTGCCTGCCTTTGCTTCCCAAGTGCTGGGAGTAAAGGTGTGCACCACCATGACTGGCTCAGCCTGCTTATACAACCCAAAACTACCTGCTCAGGGGTGTTACCACCAGCAGTGGGCTGGGCCCTCCCACGTCACTCAACAATCAAGAAAATATCCCACAGACATGGCCACAGATCCTCAGTTGAGGTTCCCTCTACCCAGGTGTGTCAAGGTGACAACTGAAGTTATCCAGCACATTACAGAAATGACATTTAAAAGTTAAACATCAGGGGCTGGAGAGATGGCTCAGAGGTTAAGAACACTGGCTGTTCTTGTAGAAGACCCAGGTTCAAATCCCAGCACCCACATGGCAGCTAACAACTGTCCGTAACTACAGTTCCAGGGGATCTGACAGCCTCTTCTGTCTTCCGCAGCATTGCACAACATGGGTGCACTTACCTGCATGCAGGAAATGCATCATACACATAAAATAAAAATAATAAAATATTTTTTAAAAGTTAAACACAGGATTTTAAATTACACCATAAACCGTAACCCTTGGTATTCTCGCTCTCTCTTGCTCTTGCTCTCTTCTTTCTCTTCTCTCCACACACACAGAAAAGAGCACTTAAGTTGCAACAGAAGAGGCAAAAAGAAGAGCTGGAAAGGGAGCAGCAACGAGAAAAGGAATTTGAAAGAGAAAAGCAGTTAACAGCCAAGCCAGCCAAAAGGACATGAGCAGCTGTGCTTGTGGTGTGCTCTTTCCCTGCCCCGTACACTGCGAATTTATAGTATGTATGCATAGAATTTATAGTATGTACGTGTAGAGTGAGGTTCAGGCAGTGCCTTATCCCATTGCACATGTCTTGAAAGCCTTACCCAGGATTGCTGTCTCAAGAAGCCTTTCTTTCAGTAGTAGACACAGTGCCACTTGTTTTTGATATTCATGTGTAAACTCTTCAAGTTTTGTTTAATTTAAAAATTTGTTATTTTGACCTTGAATCATTTGTAAACTGGAAAATGCTTTGTTATAAGGGTCTGAACTCCAATTCAAAATGAGTATGACTGTTTTAGCTTCCTGAGTAGGATTTAAAGTTTGAGTTTCTCATTTTATGATGACATGCCTTTTCTGCAGTGTGACTCTGAGTTTTGGTAATTGCTTTTTTGACTGCTTAAAGAGAAATGCCAGTTGTCTGATCACAAATCTCACAGGAGAATGGAGGCTAAGCCTTTGTAAAGGACATAGCGAAAGAGTGTACACACAGGAACAAGTGCTGAACATAGTGGAAGAGTGTACACACAGAGACGAGTGCTGAGCGTAGTGCAGGTATCCATGCAGGAACAAGTGCTGTAGCTATAGGCTAGGTCAGTGGATGCCAGATAGATTCTTCATCCATTCTCTGCTTTTTAGTGTTGGTGCTGAAATAGATTTGGGGCTCAAGACAGAATTACATCAATTCCTAAAGTTGGCTGGTGATGGTGGCCCTCCACACTTTCAAATGTACACATAATCATTGGTGAGATAAGTTCTGTGCTTTTAGTGTAGAGTGAAATCTGTTGCTCACTTTAATAGATAATTACAGGATTGGTGGAAAATGGGTAAATAGTTCGGTAAAAGAGGCAGCATGATACTCTAGTATTTCTAGAATGTTTTCTTGATATTATATGTAGGAATTTACTCTGTGAGGGCAACACGAATTTTCATTGTTTCACATCAAGAGTGTCCTAGCATACTCTGCTCTTGTAGTATGTAGTGTCCAGTTGGTTTCTAATCCCAACTGCATGTGGACACTGCAGAACCTGTACAGGTGTCTGATTTTAATTACCTATTTTATAATCTATGTGACAATTTCAGTAGGCCGGAATTACTACCTCTGATCACATATCAGGCAAACAATAGAGAAAGCATTAAAGATGAATGCTAAGAACTGGTTGGTTTAAAGGCATAAGTAATTTCTTTGAGAGTCTTTTCCTTCTTTAATGAATGAATTATGGTCCCACAAGTCACTTGGTCTTGACCTCATATTTAAGAATGTAAATGTTTGAAATCTGTTACCCTTGGTCACTTCCTGGGATGAATTCACTGGGACTTGGAGGACACTGTCACTAATGCTGAATGTACTCATTTATATAAAACATCCAACAAAGACTATGCATTGCTCTTTTGGTGGTTTGGGGCCAGTTGTTGTGGTTGTTTAAAATGCTGCCTCCTGGACACCACCCTCAGTATATCAAAGGGAATCTGTTTTTGTTTGGTTTGCTTATTTTATTTTTAAAGTTTCCCTCCAGTGATTCTGGTATACTTTAAAAGATGAAACCCCCATAGGTTTAGAAGCTGACAATGAGGGGTTTCCCACAGTATACCACATGTCCCTTTCACCTGGGAACCAGAAACAATACAGAAACTCTCAATTTTTGCTCACTGGTCCTGATGTGGCACCCAAGTCTGGACTATTCTGATACAAAGAACTGGTGGCATAGACTATCTAGTGATTTACATTTATAAGTGGTGAAATAGTTTAAAAGCTACCGAGTAATTTTTGGAGCTAATCTTAAGAAATAAATTCTTTACTACTGCTTTTGATCTATAGTCAAATTTAAAACCAAACTTTAGCTGGCAGGAAATAAGATACAGAATTTTGGTTAATTAATTGAACTTTTGTGACCTGTATTAAAATAAATCATGTTTATCGAATGAATATATACACATATCCTTCAGAATTATATTGTCAAAGAGTTTTTTAAAATATTAAAAGAACTATATATTAGCATCTACTATTTTAAGGTCAACAGTAAAACAGAGATAACAGATAATTAAAACCTAAAACTTCAGCTATATTTCAGTAACATGGAAACATTGGAACCTTTATATTACAGTCTTGCTGTATTTTTCACAAAATAGAAAATTGGTGGAAAACTTTGTCTTGAAACTATATCAAATATGTACTGAACTGAAATGGTGGCAGTTCATCTTGTGTTCACTTTGCAGCAAGTATTGTGTAAATATGCAGACTGAATATAACATAGATTGTGTCCACATAGAGTTTTGTTGTGGAATCAGTTTGTAAGTGTACCAATTATATGTCCACAGATCTTTGACTGTTTTTGGTCTTATAAAATGAGGACTACTTTTTATGCACTTAATAAAAAAGTTGGAATCACCCAGAATCATTTATCAAGCACCATTCTGTATGCATCAATGTGTGTTTTTCTTTATGTATGTTATTTCAGGCATTCTAGTTTGCTGCCCTCTCCTCCCTTCTTCCTTGTAATGTTCTCTATGTATTAAGTGTTACTTACATCTTGTGACAAAGAATTACCAGTTTGTTCGTGAAATCCCAAACAGAAGTGTCATGAAAAGGCTATTTGAAATTACCCTCTAAACATTCACTGTTCTTTGAGAATAAACATGGTCACTACAAAGCAGATATGATGGCACACATGGAAATCCCAGTACTCAAGAGGCTGAGGCAGGAGGATTGAAAGTTTGAGACCATCCCGGGCTACAGTGTAAGACGCTGCCAAATAATAAAACCTATTACTTGTAGTGGTTTGGTAAAAAGTGCTTCACAAGGATTGCTGCATCTATAGCCTTTAACCGATAAGAATTCCCAGCTAATAGTGTATTTTAGATGAGGTTTAAAGGCTAATAGATGACCTTTAGAGAGAGCACCCAGGATAGGAACTCATAACTTTCTCGCATAATTGTGTGAATGTGTGTTTCTCAGGGTTGGCTCTATAAGCTTCATGAGATTCATCATGTATTTATACATTTAATATATATTTCACCAATACCAATTTCTTCCAAAGCCATGTTTTTTTTTTGTTTTTTGTTTTTTTTTGTCTTTTGAGACAGTCTCCCTGTAGCCCCAGTTGGCCTGGCACTTGCCATGTAGACCAGGCTGGCCTTGAACTCAGAGTTTTGCCTGCCTCTGCCTCCTAAGTGCTGGGATTAAGGGCAAGTGCCACCATGCCCAACCAAAGCCATGATTCTTAATAACTGAATCTTCACACATAACTGTCCTTATATTTTCAAAGTTCCCCAGTTTCTAGATTTTTCTTTGGCATGAAGATAGTTCCTATACTTTATTCAGATTAACCAGATAGGTCATATTTCTATCATCTTGTTCATGGTCAGCCAGTTTGCATGTTTACGATGCCATGCAATCTAAAAAGAACTTGAGGCAAAAAGTTCATAGAAACAGTGCAAAGTAAGGGCAAGTGTGCTGGATAGCTTAGTTGTCAACTTGACACACCTGGTAGAGGGAGCCTTAATTGGTGAATTGTTGCCATTGGACTGGCCTGTGGCCACATCTGTGGGGCATCTTCTTGATTATTGAGTGATGTGAAAGGGCCCAACCCACTGTGGATGGTGCCATCCCTGGGCAGGTGGGCCTATGTTGTATAAGAAAACAGGTTGAGCAGGGGCCAGGGGAGCAAGCCAGTAAGCAGCATTCTTCCATGGCCTGTGCTCCAGCTCCTACCTCCAGGTTCCTGCCCTGAGTTCCTACCTTGGGCTCCCTCAGTCTTGAACTGTGACCCAGGAGATGTAAGCCGAATAAACCCTTTTATCCCCAAACTGGTATTGGTCAGAGTATTTGTCACAGCTATATGGAGGAACAAACTAGAACAGCAGGCAAAGAGAAAATGGGTAAATTTGGGGGAATGCTGGGGGTGGGCACTGGCAGGAGAAAGGGAAGGCTTATTGAGGTTGGAGGTCAAGGCACATTCTCTCAATAAGGGAGGCTTGTAGATATGTAAAGAAGAAATTAAAATGTATATTACAGTAATGATAACTCTAGTAAAAGGTTGCCCTCTACTGTTGTGATACAGCACTTCTTAACCATAGCTACACCATGTTAAAGTTTAGGCTGACTCTAGTCTCTGAAAATGTCAGGCAGTTGGCCCAGGGTATGGGAACACTTGTCAGCAGGACCCCAGTTGTCTTGGGAACAGGTCAGCATGTCCTGGAGAGCACCTGATAACTGCAGATTTATGGCTTCTGTAGGTCATGCTTGGCTTGCTTCTGCAAAATAGTAACTGTTACTTAATAGAATAGAAATTGCTAAAGGGGCTTTCCACCTGCAAGCTTGGGAACTTAAGCTTTTCACTGCTGGTTATGGTTTTTTTGTATAAAAGCTTACCCTAGAGGTGGCTCAGGGCTACACACTTGGGTTCTGACACCCTTGTGTAGTCACTCGCCAACAAGACTTTCATTCGGCAAAACTTTGTCTGAGTGGTCTTCTCTGGTGAAGCCCCTCACAACACTCACCTCACTGTAAACCAAAGAAAAGGTAGCTGCTGATTGTGGTTAAGAACCAGGGATTCATGAACTTTTTCCACTTGAGACCTTTTGTTGCTAAACTCTCTCCTCAATGTCCACCCCTCCTACCCAGCTTCCAAGGACAAACTGAGACATGATAAAGTTCATCCTGGGGAACCAGTGAGTTTATTAGGTTCCACCTACAGAGCAGCAGGTGCAGGATTATGGGCAGGAGTATGGGTGACCTTAAAGTGGCCACGCTGGAAGATGTTGCACTTAGCGAGGATGATGACTCCCCATTGATGGACCCCTTCCCTTAGTCTTCCCCAGCCTACTTTAGCCCTCTCAGGTATGCAAGTAAAGCAGAATTGCATACCATGAGTTGGGAGGAGTGGCTGGATACACAGGGGAGGGTCCCATCACCCTTGCCACCCCCTCCTATGAGGGGACATCAGCTGTTGAGTCAACAAGCCCAGCTGTGATCTTTTGCAAAAAGACCCAGCTGAACTGACGATGGCTGAAGATGAGTGTATTGCCTGTCTGTTCATAATGTGCATGTATGTGCACCCATGTTGTGCAGTGCCCGTGGAGGTCAGAAGAGGCATCAGATCCCCTGGAACTGGAGGTACAGATGGTTGTTAGCCGCCATATAGGTGCTAGGGTTTGAACTAGATTCTCTGCAAGAGCATCCAGTGCTCTTAACTGCTGAACCATATCTCCAGTCCCTGATAATTTTAGTTTTATTATTGCCAATTTCAAGACTACTTCATGTAAATATATAATACGAAATAGAAGTATGTTTAGGGCCACTACAGAATTCTGTCATAATTCCAGCCAAAATTCACTTAATGATTTTTTTTTTTTTTTTAAATATAAAGCTTAGGTCAGCAACTCAGAGCAATTTTTTTTTTTTTTGTCTTTTTGAAGCAGGGTCTCCCTGTAGCCCCAGCTGTCCTGGAACTCACTATGTAGACCAGGCTGGCCTTGAACTCACAGAGATCTGCCTGCCTCTGCCTCCCAAGTGCTGGGACTACAGGCGTGCGCCACTGTTGGGGACCCCTGCTGTGAGGGTCGCAGTCTCTCCATGTCTGGATAGCCGCGAGCCGGCTCGGCGCATAATGGAAAGACTCCCCTTTTCAGCGGGGCGCCTCCTACTCTCTTCCTGACTCACCTTTGAAGTGCCCGCCACAGAAACATGACCTCTGGCATAGAAACTACCAGGTTTTTTATAATCAGGCATTGTCTGACAGCCTGACTGATAGAAGCCCACCGCCTCATGTAAATAAAGCATCCTACAGAGCACCTATCAGCTGAGGCTTTTGCTACTGCCTCCACACTATAAATCTCGTTTCACCCTAATAAAGTGGAGCTGTATCACTGAGTCTGACTGAGCTGTATCCTGTGTCTTACTGTGCCTGGGACCAGCCTGTGATTCAGTCTCCCCGGAGGAGCTGTCCCCCATCAACATTCACTCGAGAAGATTCTGCATTCGCTGTTCTTGTGCTCCCCGCTTTGTTCTCCCTGCCCCCCGTGGACCGGTGGCCAGTGACCTCGGGCACAGGGAGAGTGACCCGCAGAGCCGCCAGTGCCCGGCAGCCTGCGTTGGCGCAGAACCTGCACTCCCAGCCGCAGAGAGCCAGAGACCCGCCCAGCAGCGCGAAACCCATGGACCCAGCCAACAGCTGGCGAGCCCCACACAACAACACGCCACCATGCCTGGCTTCGATTTTTAAAATGTAACATCATAACAGTACAACCCCAAAATATACTAATTTGGTAGGTGCTGAGGAAAGATGGTAGGAAAATGCCTCTGATTTCCATAATTAAATTATTTTTTAAAAGTTTTAAAACCATGCTTTTAGCTGGGCATAGTGGCACAGGCATTTTTCCCAGCACTCGGGAGGCAGAGGCAGGTGGATCTCTGAGATTGAGGCCAGCCTGGTCTATAGTGCCAGGGCAGCTGGGGCTACAAGGAGACCCTGTCTCAAAAAGACACACACACACACACACACACACACACCACCACCACCACCACCAAAACAACAAGCACATACTTTTATATACAGCAATACAATTTACATATTAAGTAACACTATAGTAGAAATACTTGATATATTCACAAACAGAAGAAAAAGGGAAAATTTTCAGGTTACAAAACAAATTTAACCAAAAAAAAAAAAAATTGCTTTTTCTCAGTGAGTCAATGTGAAAGATGTATTCAGTGTCTAGGCATGTGTAATTCCTACTGTATCAATGGTCAATGAAAGTAAAAGGAAAGTCCAACTTTGACAGTCACCTCAAAGGAATAACACATGTTGGATTCTTATAGAATTTAGAAATGATTCTTCATAGTTTAAGACACAGAAAGTTGGATTCATATATGCTCCATGAACAAAACCAAAAACAAATCATGCTTAAATTACCCTTTTTTGTTCTTTGTAAATATCATAGTATACCCCCACATGCATTTGTTTGCAAATATACACATACACATTATAGACTAGGCTGTGCATATGAGGGAAACGTAGGTTTGTTTTTTTTTTATACTTTCTGAGATTGGGTGACCTCACTTAATATTGCACATTCTAGGTCCATCCATTTTCTTGTGAATTTTGTGATTTTATTTTCTTTAGTGTGGAATAATATTCCTTTATATATGTGCCATATTTTCATTATCCATTCATCTGCTGTTGGACAAGTAGGTAGAATGTTTCCTTTAAAATCAGGAATGATGCCCACCCTCCCCTCTCTCATTGCTTGAAGACTTTCTCTAGCAGTTAAACAAGAGAAAGGCATAAAGGGGATAAAAATAGGAAAGGAAGAGGTCAAACTACCCTTATTTGCTGATGACAATTCTACATTTCAAAGACTACAGAATGTACTAGTAAACAATACCTAATAAACACAGTAAAGTTGCAG